GACTGCAGAGTTGGAAGGGGCAGCTGCACAATCGCTAATTTTGGCATTATATTTTTGAAGTATGGGATGAGGTTCGAATCTCGGCGCGGTGAAAAAAATTAAAATTTCGAATTCACCTTCGTGGAACTAACCGAGAAATGCGCAGACGGACATACCTACAAAAGGAAGAGACGGCATGATGTATCGATGTGGTTATGCGAGAACGTGCGATATGTACAATTGTTCGGTACTATTCGTCGACCTTATAGCTGAAATCGCCGTATCAAACCAGAAGGTTACTAAAAGTGTAAATCATAATTTTAAAAAGATTTTAAAAGGTTATGCTTTGCTACTTGCATAGTTAGAAGGATTAGATTATTTATATTATAGCTGCACCTATCACAATGAAAAAATTTATTACGGCAGTGAAATTACTAAAGATCTAAAATAAATGCAAAAGCAAGTCCTGGTCCTGATCTGATGTATGCGCCTAGATCGGGTTCTAAAAGACAGCCAAGTAGCGAAATTTCATGTCCCGCAGAACGTTCAGTTCCGTTGTATGGAGCTTGGAATGTATGTTTCATCAAACCCGAATCAAAACTAATTCCAGGGCTCTTTCCTACGTTATTTTTTTCATTTATGCTTATTAATAAAGAATCACGTGAGTTATCTGTTCTGTTCTGCGAAATATTTTTGGTATTTTGTATTTATTATTATTATTTTGCTATATTCAAATCATTATACAATCATACCTCGTTTAACGGGAACAACACGTTTATGGAAACGAGAGCGCTAACAGAATCAGAGTTGTTGGATAACCTTTGCCTAATACTTATGACGAAGCGTTCCTAAAATTTATTCCGTAACACTAATTTCAAAGCATAACTGTTCCTGCTCTTTTTTTCCGACCAGTACTATCTCGTGCGACTGTAAATCATGCGTATCATCAACATCAACTTCGATCCTCGTAGCTGTATGGCAAAATCGTGGATGTCATTGACTAGTGTAATTCCATTTTCTTATAAATTATTGAAATTATAAGTGTACGGTCATACTTTCGTCCACGCCTTGCACACAGTT